AATCAATCCCCCAAGACCCTCCTACCTCTCTCTGCAAAGAAATGGAATTTCAGAAAGTCCATTAAAAACTGAAGGTAAAAGGGTGAAGAGCAATGGTGTATTGAGAAGTTCACTCCTCCTGAATGCAGAGGAGAAAAATGTCCATTCCTTGAGTCCTGAGAAAGCCAGCAAAATGATCCGAATGCACCTTGGGGGCATTGGCAGAGCCGTCTTCCCCAGGCAGCAGAATGAAAACAAAGTCTTTGCTGTCTCCGGTGCTTTCTCCATCCATGCTCGGTTGCCACTCCTTGTATTTACAGCCAGGCAACACCTGAAGCACCTGCCCTCTGTCCCCCGTCCTTGGCCACCCGGTCACCAGGCCAGAGGCGGTGTCACCCCCGGACTCCGCTGGGGCTCTCCGGCCCGGATGTCGCTGAAGGCCCGCTGGGGCAGAGAAGGAAACAAGAGAGAGGTGTTAAGCCAAGCCTTGTTGTCGGTTCAGGCAACATGCTAAGGCTGGGATCCTGCAAGTTAGCACAGCTTGAGTAGACCCAAAGAAACCATCATCCCAAGGAGGGTGAGTCCACACCTTAGGAAATCCCAGCTCTGAAACGCATTCTTGGTATCCTGCCCAGGGCACCAGGGATGAAGAGGCTCCATGCTGTGCCCACTTCATGCCAGCTGAGCCAACCTATTCTGATGCTCGACTTTTTGCTCAAGATGGAGGTTTCTCATGCTGACCATGGCAGAAATCCTACATCAAGCAGTGTACCACACTCTGCCCTTAACATCTGGGCGGATTGGGTCCTTGGACAGAGCCTTGAAAGTTTGGACTATAAACCACGACTGCTCTAATGACAGAGGTGCCAGCCCCACATGCCAAGTCCCATATTCTCTGAGAATGGCAGAAAACACTGTAGAAAAGGACAGTGGGCCCTGCACATTCATTGGGGTTGGGGGTGCAGGACCCCCATGAAAGTGGGGAAAAAATGCAAATAAAACAACAACAACTTTTTTTAACCTGAAAGAACACCTGTCTATGAAGGCCAATATCCAGCATTAGTTTACCATAAAACTGCACTGGATGACCTTTAGAAATATTTTCTCTAGGAATCTGTAGGTCTTCCCGTGCAACTCTTTGGTCAACTTCTGTCAGAGTTGTGCCAGAGGACCTAGCGATTCCTAGAGAGAACCTATTAATCAAATCCACGAATAATCACATCTGTAAAAGTCATAGCCACGAATGCAGAGGGCTGGCTGTTGTGTGGCAGTAGCCTTGGATAACTCTTTTAAAGTTGGGAATATAACCCAGAGCAGATTGGCCATCCCATTAGTATGGAAGTCGCCGGGTAGCTCTTCGGCTGGCTGACCATTACCATCCCAGACCAAGGCCAAGGAACCAGTGGCCCATAGAGTTGGACCTCACCTCAAACTTGCTCATGAACTCAGCGAAAATGCCAAAGAAGGCTTCGGAGGTGGTGACTTTTGCGTCTTCCCCAAAGAAGGAGAGGACTTTGCTGAACTCTTCCATGGCTTTGTGCTGAAGATCCTCCAGGGACCGGATGGTGGGATGAGCCATCTCCAGGAAGGCCTGCGAGGAGGAAGGGGGCTAAGGAGAAAGGCATGCCCAGAGGGTGGTTTTGTCCTCAGACTTCCAAAAAGGTAGTCTGACATGGTAGCGAGAAACAGACCCCCAGGCTGGACTGCGAGAGAGAAAGAAAGTTGGGGAGGGAAGGAGATAAAGAGATGCCTTTCCTTCCTTTAATCTCATTTATTCCATAAAGAAACCCAACTCCAAAGCCATCTCTCTGCAAGATTTCGTGGTGTCAAACTGCACCAATTCTAGGTTTTCCAAGTGTCGGTTAGCAAACAATGGTGGATATTGCTTTTCATCCCTAGATTTCCCAGGCCAAAGGATACGCTCATCACGGCTGTGAACCTGTCCTCAGGGGAAGGCACCATATTCTGGCAGGCCATCTCAATCTCCTCGATGGTGGTGTGGAGGTCATTGAGGTCCGCCATTAAAGTTCTCTGATTCACTAAAGCAAAAGAAGACAAAGAAGAGGGGAAGCGTTAAGGAAACAGGGTCCCCATATCTCCTTCTCTCCCTTTTCACCATGAAATCAAAGGTGGTTGCTGTTCTTATGCCATACTCCCTTTTCTTAGACCCAATTTGCAGCATGTATTTATTCAGACACCCTCATACAACTCTGGTCTCTGCACCATTGAATCTTTCTCTTTGGCTTCTGGTAAACTCCAGCAGGAGAATGAGCCACAATGCACAATAGCCCTTCGGGTTTGTCCCGGAAGAGGCAGCCCCAATAGACTGACTCCTCCGTTTCCAAGGAAAGCCAAGAGATGTCAGAAGACTCTCCCTTTCCTTGGCCATCTTACCTTTGGCAGCGTGTGGCACCGTGGGCAGGTCCTTGGCAAAGCCCAGGAGTTCTGGGAAATGTTGGCTAAGTGATTTGGCAAGAATATGCAGAAAGGTGGACTTCCCATCGACAGTCTTGGTTGAGTTCAGCTGGAAGAAAGCAGAATAAATATAGTCAGTGGAACTCCTGACTAATGCACATGTGGCCCCCAGGGCTGCTTTTGTGGCCACTGGAGACCCCAAGAGTACTTTTAAAACCACAAAACCCCCCAAAATGTCCCCAAATGTCCTAGGAGTTTCAGGAGGAATTATGCACATGTTGACACCTTGGGAACTTGGCAGCAGGACCTTTCTTCTCTCAGTAAATTTAGAAGTCAAATGACATATTGAGGGCAATGAGCATTCCCAGCAAGTGGCCCATTCATTTCCCTTCCTGCAATGGGGATTTTGAGAAGGGTGCTTCTGCAGTCTTTTGCAAATTTAAATTCTGCAAATTTCGCCACAGGCATTTATCTCCACAGGCCCAGAAAGCGCAAGATGGGTCAGTGAGGCAAATGACATGCAAGGACAAACAGATGTCTTTGGGAGCACCTCTTCAAAAAATAAATCCCTCTGTGCTAAACCTACCATTTTGTTCGGACCCTACGAAGTGGGCATTTTCATGGCGCAGGACTGAGAGGGGGACATGTTTCCTTTCATTTAATGGGAATAGCCTTCTTCCCTAGCAGAGCTCTCTGATGCCACGTACCTCAGTCAGGAAGTTGATTTTGAAGCCAGTGGTTTTGTTGGTCTTGGGTTGCCCGTGGTTCAGGTAGTTGCCCATGGCCAGCACAAACTGCAAAGAGAAAGAAGCCTTTGTGGTCATAACCGGTGGGTAAATTCTGCAAACTTACCCACCATCTTCATCCCTTTTCCCAGGGCTGAGCATGAGACACAGCGTGAACGTGGTTTTACAGCAGGGCTTTTTCATGGTTGCAGAGGCTGGGCAAGAACAGGTGTGAGCCCCAAACACACTCATTCACACACACACCTCCAAGGCATCCAATTTGTGCTTCATAAGCCTCTCCAACTTTTAGGTGAAGGCTTTCTCTTGGTCCCACCGCCATCCCTGGCATGTTTGGTGAGGTTTTGGTGGTTGTGGGATTCCCTCCCTTAGGATGCTAGGTTGGTCCCCTTTCTGTCCTCTTTCTGCCAGCAGGCAAAGACCTTTTTATTTAGGCAGGCCTTACGTTTTTACTCATTGCAGCACAGCGAGCTTTCAATGGGTGTGTGTGTGTGCGCATAGTGTGCCTGCATTGTATTACATTGCAAATGTGTTTCTAAACTGTTCTCTACTCATTTTTAAAAAAACAGAATTGAGGTTATACAGGTTGAGTCTCCCTTATTTGGAATTCTGAAACCCAAAATATTCCAGAATTGTCCACACGGATGGCTGGCCTTTGCTTTCTGATGGTTCAATGTACACAGAATTATGCACAAAATTTCATGCCAAAAATATTACAAATATTGGGTATAAAATCACCTTCCGGCTTTGTGTATCAGGCGTATATGAAGCATGAATGAATGTAGTGTTCCGACTTGGGTCCCAGCCCCAAGATCTCTCTGTGAGGCCCCACCAGGCCTTTGGCCCCTTCTACTCCCTGTTCGGGGGTCAAAGGTGAGCTCCCTATCTCTTCCAGAAACTTCCTCTGAGGCCAGGAGCTGCTCCTGTCTCCGGGAAAGGCACGCTCCGGTTGTGGCTTGGAGTTAATGGGTAGCCAGCAATGTTAACTAGGTGTCATCATTGGGGATCATTTGGAATTCCTCCTT